CTTTCTCCTACCAAAGACTGTAAGGGATTCTTTGCTTCTACCCTCTGGCTGTGATCGCTGAGTCAGCACGGCACCGCGCCTATATTCTTTGTCGCGGAGAAGTCGGGCGAAAATGTCTCAGTGGTGTTTTGGGTAGAAAAAAATATTATTTGTTGATTTCGGTGGGGCGCTACGCATTTTTTAAGCTAAAATTTTTGTTAAAAATTCAATGCATGAAAATACACCTGGCTAGTTTTTTAAAGCGTATTTCCGATTTTCAATGCTTTAAATATGCTCTCAGAGGCATTAAAAAGTATCTCTGCACATGAAGGCTATCTGCCTAAGAGGAAGGATGCCTTCATTGAGGACTTTCAAAAGAAAACTAACTTGTATACACTTTACACATGGGGAAAACGATGAAAACACCCATGCAGCCAGGCCGTTCACCGGACTTCTAACCCCGGTCGAATTACTAGTGTTCAGCAACTTTACCGCTCAGCCCCTTTTGAGCCATCCTTAATAATGGAATAAAGTGCTACAGCTAATGAGGGATATTTGTGAAGGCAACACAGAGGTCATACTGATGATTACAGATTGTGGGAAGGAGAAATAAATAAGTTTCCGTACCACATGATAGTGAACACCATTTTGAATGTGACTATTCTACAAATGGATATAGCCTGGTATTTGAATGGGCACCCTCAGTATGCAACTCTATCTTTAAATATACAAGCTGTGAGTGGAGATAAAATGTCAACATATGGGAAAGGAATATGCACATAAAATTCATATTCTGTGTGTAAGAACATGCAGTCTATGTGGCTTATGAAATAGATCCGTGCATCTTCAGACTTTTTAAAGAAATCTGGGTTTATTTAGACATAAAAAGTAATGAAGTGTGCATCACTAATGGAGAAATATCAATGTTTTAAGTGGATGAAATGAAGTGACATGCTGTAAGATAACTGCTCATGAAAAGATTATTGTTGCTCCTAAAGTGAAATTCGTCTTCTATGATAAAGTGAAAACCCACAAGAAGTGCATAGGGAAATTACTAATTTTCCTATGCATTCTATTCACTATAGGGAAATTACTAATTTGCCTAAGAAAAACAGAATTAGGAAAGGACTTTTAATTGCAGCTGTTCTAGTTGATTCAGCAAAAGGAAATGTACTAGTTAGAATTGCCAGAATAAGTGATAGCCAAAGTATATTTGCAAAAGGCCAGGATGTTGTTTCATATTCCCCTGTGACTAATTTCATGTAAAGTTCAGCCAATTAGAAAGAGTGAACCTAAATTAAGAGATATATTTGCAGTTACAACATTGCTTGCTAATAAAATTAAAGTTTCAGATTATTTAATAGAAAACATTAGAGATGCCTTCTCAACTTCATCTAGTGGCATTTATCACATGAATGTGATGCAGTATCGTACCAGTACTGGAAGCCAACCACCTATCAAGCAAAAACCTTAACATCTTCCTTCTGAAAACAAAAGGAGCAAATTGGAAACTTCTGAAGGAGATGCAGGACAGTGATGTAATTAAGCCTTTGTCTAAAGCTCATAATTGTCCATTGGACCACTGGTTATCTTAATTGTCCTTTGGATGTCCTAATTTAGCCTTTTGGGCATTATTTACTATCTTAGTTAGAAAGAAAGACATGATTTTATGTCAGTTATAGACACTATAGAGAAAGACAGTCAACCTTTTCCTAAAATCAGTAACATCTTAGACATGGTAGTGAGAAACAAATGTTTTTCCACTCTGGATTTGAAAAGTGGCTACTGGCAATAGATCCTTAAGATGATTGGAAGAAGACTGCATTTGCTACTGGTCAAGGATTCTTAACAGTTTAAAGTAATGCCTTTTGAACTGTGCGATGATCGAGCAAGATTTGAACATATAATGGAAGCAGCTTTGAAAGGTCTTTCTTATGAAGCCTGTTTAGTATATATCAACCACATTATTATGACCATATGCATTTTTGAGGAACATCTCTGAAATGGCAGAAAAGTGCTATAAAAGCTTAGAGATGCTATTTTGAAGCTCAGTCCTTCAAAATGTAAGTTGTTCTAATGAGAAGTCAACTATCTTGGCAATATTATTTCTGCCAAAGTCATGTATGTTGTATGCATAAATCCAGAGAAATTCGAAGCTGTTTGGGACTAATGTCTCCCTTAAGACTTTCATCAATAAAGGAGTTTTCTTGGCATCTGTACTTACTATCAAAGATTTCTCAAAGGTTTCTTTAAAATTGCAATACCTTCACACCACCTAGCAGAAGCAAAGCAAAAGTTTTCATGGCCTTGTAAGTGTAAAGAAGCATTTTGAACCCTAATGGATGCTTTGTTATCTTATATGCTATGTTAGCTTATCTGCAACCTGAATGCAACATTATACTTGATGCAGACTGAAGCAATGAAAGAATTGGAGCTGTTCTTTCACAAGAAATTGATGAACAAGAGTATGCTATTGCTATTTTAGTAATCTCTCAAAGTTAGAAAAAAAAAAAAATAACTGTGTTGTTAGAATATAACTGTTTGCTGTCATTGAGACAGTAGAATATTTCCATCACTATCTTTGCGGCTGGAAACTCCTGTTTCACACTGATTGCGTCTCATGAAGGTAGATGCTTTGTTTAAAAAATTTGGAAGGTCAAGTGGTTAGATGAATGCAGTAGCTATAGGAATATGAGGTATAAATTAGATGATGGAAGAAACTTTGGGAATATTGTTGCATTTTGAGGAAGACCTTGTACAGGAAAGTGCAAATACTGTTCAATAGCCAAGGAAAGGTATGATCTTTAAAGCCTCAGTTGCAGACGAACTCGGGAAAATCAGAGACTGATCCATAGAGCAGCAAAAATATTTAGATGGCTGCTCATCTTATCTTCTTCCATATGACCTGCTCTTTGTGAGGCTACCAGATATGAAGTTTCATATCTGAGCACTGTTTGGAGAATCTGCAGAGATGTTGAGAAGACATTTAAGCAATACAGCATCTGAAAGGATGAAGAGGAGACATGATACCAAGTTCACGGAGAGGGACTTCAAGGAAAGTAATCAAGGTTGTAGTGGAACTCCAAATGACATCAAAGAATCTCACCTAAGATGCAAACATCCTGGAAAGGGTCCTTCCCTGTGATTAAAAAGCTGAACAACATAATGGTGCATATCTAAAGAATTCCTTCTTCTAAACCTAAAATAGAGCACTACAAAAGACTTGTGTCTTATTATAGCAATAAGGGTTAGTTGTCCCTGGTCTTTGGAGACTGCACTGTCAGGAGGCATGCCGTTCTTAAGAAGGAGATAATGCTGCACTTGTGTGTAAATATTTAAACCCTTTTTATTGTATTCTAGTAATATTGGGCATTGATTTAGTTATTTATTTGTTTTTTTTTATTTGTGGCCACTTTTTTTAATAAGTGTTTGTATTTTTTAAAAAGACTTGCTCACTGTGTATCTCTGAGTGTGGTAGCTTTCAATTTGTAAAAATAGTTTATGTGAAACATGAGATACACTCCTGACGAGGCTTGCTGAATGAATTTTCCCAAAAATTCTAGAAGCTTGTGCTACACCACACTTGTGCCTGTATTTCACTATAAATACCGCTGAGAGAGCTCCGACTTGTTATTGTTATTTAGCACTAGCTGAGTTGTGAGTTTACTCTGTAAGTGATTTTGGCAGTTGCTGATATTTCTGAAGAATTGTTTATTATTTACATTTCTGCTTAAGCTGTTTGAAGTTATTTATGTAATTAATTTTTTATAATGAATTGTTAATTTCTTCCTTTTTATTTAAAGTGATCAATCAATGACATATTTGCAAAGCTGTAGCTTGCAACAATATTTGTGTGCTATTTTTTACTTTTAATAAATGAATTAATGTGTTGTGTTTTATAATAATGCATGATATCAAATAAATATCTCTGTAACGTAAAAAAAGGGTTGCTTTTTTTCTTTCCTTTTTTTAAGCCCAAAGACGCAATTTACCCACAGGGGCTATGAATTTCATTTTGGCAACTTGCGTTGGTTCATTATAAAACAACATTTCACTTTTAAAATTGTTGCCACTAAATATGAGAGCCGTGCCTTATATTTAAAGAAATTGAAATGATGAATTTGCATAAATGTATGTATGTATGTTTCTTGCATTGTGGAAAAAACAACAGCACCTAGAGACAACAAATTTTGAATAATGCAGTCCTCCACTCAAGTATGGCCATCTGGAAGCCTGAATTTAGAATTTGTTTTATTATCTATTTCATATTTTGTAAAACTTTAATGAATTTTTTATTAACAAATTCAGTGATTTTTATTAACAAATTTAGTGTTCCGACATTAACATCGTGTGCATTTTCAAGTATACATATTTTATGCATGTGGTTTCTTCTTTTGTGATATTACTATTGAATTGAATTTTATGGTTTAAGTGTAAAGAATATGATACTTAATAAATAAAGGTAACACACAGAACATTAAAAAAAGCCCCTTTTGCTGTAATACAAAATCTGAAAGCTATCAGTTTTTTTTAATGTTATTATTATTTAGTTAGTTAAATAATTTCATGATTATGTGCAAAGAAAATGAGTCAAGAAATCAAAAAATATATAACTAGATTGGAATATGATACTGACTAGCCTTGTATCTGTTTCAGACACTCAATTCCTATTACAAAGTAATTCATAAAATAAGATATAGAAATTTGTGGAAGACAGTCATTGTGCTGTGGGTGAAAAAAATTTCTGTAAAATAACTTTTTTTTTTCTTTTTTTCGTTTTAGTTTTTCTACTGTAAAATCAGTGGTTAGGGAAAGATTCATTATGCTTTACTTGCTGAAAGACAAAATTTTTCGTACTTTAAAGTGCAAAATTTTTAGAAATCTTAAGAACAATATACAGATTTCCATGTCTGCCCCCCAAAAGGAAATTAATGAAAAGAAAAGGAAAACTTATGCAAATGATGCTTATTTATCTTGTTAGAGATATTTTGATATTTTACAGTGTTTATTTTTTTTAATAGACCATGCATAATTGGGATCATGGACTTAGTAAACTCTTACTAAAAGTATCAGAGTTGAGACCTCTCATCATTATTATAGATGGTATTGATCAGCTTGCTGAGTACAGCAGTAAAGACCTTCAGTGGCTACCCATAGAGCTTCCTCCAAATGTGAAATTAATCATTACTGTTCGAGATGGTACTGAAGAATTGAACAAAATAAAGGTTAAAAATTATTTCTGTATTTTATTCTGTAGTGATTAATTCATACTGTGAAATAAAGGTTAACTGCTCTTAATTTAATGATAAAACAACACGTCTTTAATTATTGTTAATTTTAAATTTCATGGTGAAGTATCTTCATTGGTAGCACATTATATTTCTTTTCGGTAGTAACTAAAAAGTTTAAATTTTCTTTCATTATATTTCTATAAATGATAAATTTGGTTGATGTCACTCATTTCTATTCATGTATCACTTATATATATGATTTACATAATTTTGTTTGGTATTTTAAAAAGCCTTTCATTGTACACATTATCAAAATATGTTAAAGACATTATTAGACTGTTTTTAAATATAGCGGTACATTAAGGATTTGACATTTTTAGAAACTGTAGATTTTTAACTTGAAGTTGAATTTTAAATCAGGTTATAAAATTTTTCAATTCTAAACCTTAAATATGTCTTTATAAAATAAAAGAAAAAGCTTGGTATAATAGATATGTGGCTAAACCATTTGTTATGGCAAAACTTTTGGGGTTCTTTGCTTATGTGTTCGTAATGGAATATGGCATTCTTTTAAATAAAGGCTATTGTGATAATTACAAGTTGTGCATTTATGATTATTTTTCTCTTGTTAATGCGAAGATTTCTGTCCATTACAAGAGACTCTTTCCTGTCCTGGGACCTCCCGTGCACCTTTCCTCTGCCTGTAACATCAAACTGAATGGAAATTAAGTATGAAGGAAAAGTTACTAAGTCCTGTTCTTTTCTTGCAACTTATTGGAACTCGTAACACTCGCACAGTTAAAACGTGCCATCCATCTAAGTCTAAGAGTTCGTATTATATTAACTAGCACATTAAAACAATAAACTAATAAATATCAGTTGCAGACAAAAACTTCACAATACATTCGTTCTGTAAGAAAAACCTTCAAAATCAGATTATTCACATAATTTTTCCCTTTTAATTTTTGTATGATACAAGGGTGGGGGAATATGCAAGTAAATATAGTATGTATATTTTTACACCTACACTTTTCCAAGTTCCAGCAAACCCTAACAGCATTCCAATAGTGCAAGCATCAAACTATATTGCCATTTTGGTGTCCTTTTAAGTTTAGCAAACATGTAAGTTAATTCATTTCTGGCCATCTTCATGTAGTACTTTTGTTAATATAAAATACTATTCTTATAAAGATGTTACATTTTTATCTTAGTAAAATAAGAAAATTTAGGTTTATTATTATTTCTTATAATTTTTATATCCCTTTTTATATTTCTGTTGTTTTTAAATTGTTCGATTCTTTTTGCAACTTTTGTTTGAAATTATTTTAATTATGCAAAACAGCGAATGTGTCGAGGAATGATCTTTTTGTGGAAGAATATTTAAATATTTAATTAAGCTTTTTTCTTGATTTCTACTGTATTTGGTCAACATGATTTGGTTTTTATTTATTTTGATTAGTTCTTGAATATAATAAGATGATGAAACACATTTTGTTTCTATTGATTATTGTGATTTAATTGGAAACCAATTTGCTGCACTTAAAAAGGTTCAATTAATTTCCAATTAATGGTAATAATAGTTTTGATTTTTCCCTTTAATTTACTGGATTTTTACAAACGTGGCTGCCAAATATAACTTTTTATGAATTCTTTTCAATTGACAGTTCTTGAATTTTAATGAATCTTTTCATAAAGATGGGCATGTATTAATTTCACCTAACTAGTTTATTAATATTCACTATTTTTATTAAATTTCATAATTTCTTTTCATAGGAGATAATCCAAAAACTATGTAATAAGTACATATATATATATAGAGAGAGAGATAATGACACATTTAAATGAAATCAAAAAACTTAAGTTAAAAATCCTATTACTTAAGTCATCTAGTAAATCAAATTTGAATAACTTGAATGTGCATGACAGAAGTATTAAAGTAAAGAAAGCCATTCAGGTAGAGTCATGAATTTAAGTCCTGATTTAATTTTTTCCATCTTTTATTGGCAAATTTTGCTTTGTGTGCACTACTTACTAATGATTTATTTTAATTTTCTTGAAGTTTATTTTTTATTTTATTTTTTTTAAAAGAATTATAATATAATAGGAATTTAAAGCATATTTATTACCTGTAATTATATATTTTCTCATTTTACTTTTATATGCATATAGGAGGACAGCCATTGAGCTGCTTTAGCGTGATCAATTAAGGTAAAATAACCTTATATGAACATACATATATGTGCAATTACTTTGGAATTTTTTGTTTATATCATAGACAAAGAATTTTTAAATCTTTGCGAAAACATTGATGAAAATAATGTGCCGATTTTCATTAAAAAAATAATAGTAGATAAATTAATTAATAAAAATCTAGAAAATCTTCTTTTAATGTCTTTTTCAATAAAAGAGATTATGAATTCAAAATTTATAAACTGGAAATGATATTTTATGCTTTATGTATAAATATAATTATGGATTGTGCTTTTGAAACATAAACAAAACTTCTGATAAAATATTCAACCACACCTTTGAAGAATTTGATGCTAAAATTTCATGTTACTGGGCATATTTTTAAAACATTTAATTTCGCATAACAGTTAATCATATACAGTCTAAAGTCTGTAATCCGGACTGGTCAGGACTTCGGCAATTACGGATTTGGGATTTTTCCAGATAGTAGATCATCAATTTAAATCTGGTAAGATGGCATGCAGAAATTATACAATTAAAAATATGAAATTGTAATTTATGAAATAAAGAACAATTATGATCTAAAGGGTATCAAAATTTACAAAAAAAAAAAAAAGCTTAATATTTATTTCTTACTTATTAAACATTTTTCAATGTAAGTTGTTTAAGAAGCTTCCACAAAAAATTCAAAAAGCTCCTTCATCTTTTTTCTTGTGTCATATACAGTCGACTTTCCAATGCCATACTCCTCACATAATTTTGAAACGGATATGCCTTTATCCATTTTTTGCAGCAATTCCACTTTTTGTTTAATGGATATCAAAACATGGTTTCGCTTTGTAGATCCTTTGGAAATTCCAGAATTGGAAACTCTTCTTGACATACCGTATTTGACGGCATATAAGACGCACTTTTTTTCCTAAATTTGGTCTCCAAAAAAGTTACCTGCATCTTATACGTGAAGAACACAAGTTAACTTTTAATACTGAATGCTATTTTTATCCCGGATAAAGGTCTAGACACACATAACTTTTTCTACATCTACATGTGTGTGGCCTTCTAAATAAGGGTGTGTCTTATATGCCAGTGCGTCTTATATGCTGTCAAATATGGTAATTGAAACTTCAAGCTTAGTTTTTATAAAATTGCCGTAATAATAACAGTCTGCAAAAAGTAATAAGTTGGATCAAGTTAGAAGATCAGGAAGCAGCACAGTTTGCTACATTAATTGAAATCCCTTAGAATCGAATCAGTAAAGATAATTTTAGCCTAGCTTAATAGTGTCCGTTATACATTATTGGATGTGTATCACAAGATTGGCAATGAAAGCCAAGTTGTTTCACTAAATTTTGTCTTGCTCCTATTGCGTACTGAATTGTATTAGTTTATTTATTTACTATACCTACGTTTATTTCTTGCACATGCTTCAAACTAATCCGAGTCCTGAATAAATAAACTCCCACATATACTTAAGGGCCGGCGCTCGATACTGCTTTGTGCAGTTTCTACGGGTCCTAACTTCTGCTACAAAGCACATTTCTAGTTCTAAATTTTCACCATGCCTAAACTTTGGATCCCAGTGCTTTCCCTAAATCATAAAAACTTCTCATCCCTTAATTTTGCTGTTCGGTGCTTCCCCAAATTCCAAAAATTTTGTCTTCCCTAAATTCTGCTGTCCAGTGCTGACATATTCTGCCGCCGCTTCTGGGTTTATGGTGAATAACATATCAGTTATTCTTAATAAAAATAGCTCTAAATGTTATCTTTTGGGCTATGAGTTTCATTAACAAAATCTATTCTTAGCACATGAAAAGAAATTTTTGTTGAATTTTTCCTTATCAACATTTCTTAGAGCATTTAAAAATCTGTAATCATCGCCAAGTGTAATGTTAGCATAAAAGGTTACCATAATCTTGTCATTCAATTACTAATATAAAAAAAGTTGGTGATGAAAGCAAAATATAATAAATAATTACTCGCCAGGTCGGGTCAGGGATATAAAATAGGTGAATGTTTCGGCTTGAGATGCATGCCAAGTAGATACTCAGCTACAGAGCCAAATTATTAATCTCACAATTTTATGCTTACATGATTGTTTTTCCATAACAAGGTATTTTATTTAGTGCCTAAGTGAAATTAAGAATCGGAATTTTTAAGTGAAAATCTCCACATGTTTTATTATGGAAAGAAAAATCAAATGTGCATGCGTAAAGCATTAATAAAAAAATTTAAAAAATGTTTCTGGCTTTGAGGTCCGGATTTTAGATCATTCCATATAATGGACGTCCGGATTTTGGGCTTTGTACTGTTTATTGAAAAACATAATAAATATTATGCATTTATTATCAGTTTTTCATTGCACTATATGTTTAAAGTACCAGCTTATTTTCAAAATAATGGCACGCTTAATTTTGTTTTCTTTCAGAGACAAAAATATGTAGCATCTTGTGGGTTATAATTAACCCTTTGCACTCAAGCGCCTTTTTTGCGCGGCTCACCAGCAACTCGAGAGGTTTCGCAGCCTTTTTGACACATTTCTTACCAGTAACTTGAAATCATTATACACAATTAATGTAAATTTTTATATTTTAATGTGTAAAATTTTTATATTTTAACATTTTATATATCTTTACACCTTTATAAACATATTTTCTTAAATATTAGTCTGTGATTTTTTTGTGTATGATATTTCATGTAATAATACCCAAGATGTATGCCCGGCTTGTCACGGCAAGTGTTACAATAATATATCGTTTGATTCCTTTTTCCGGGTTCATTTCTCTGAAAACAGACTTTGTGATAGA